TGAAGATTTTGTACCAATTATATAAACATTTTTTTTTTAGTTTTTAAAAGAATTTTATTTTTATATTAAATCATTTTTTATATTAAATATAATATCATTTACACATAAATATATATTTTCAAATCTATAAATATCTCCGTCTGTTATTGCTTTATCACATCCTGCTTTTTAAAAACTTCCTCTAAATTATCTAGCTATTATAAATCTATCTTTATTTAAAATAGAAACTATTGGCGAATTAAGTAGTTTATTTTATACTAAAAATATGAAATTTTAAATACTTCTATGTTATTATTATTAATTTTATTACTAAATATTTGTTTATTATTAAATTATAGGTATTTCTTATTTTTTTAAAATAGTTTATTATACTTAATCATTAAAGGAAAAAATATTATTTTACTTTATTTGAAATATTTATTAACGAAATTCTAATAATTATTATTTTTAATTTATTATATTTAAGTTTATTTCTTTGTTTTTTTAATCATTATTATAGTTGTTTTCTATTATTTAATTATAAAGATATTCATTATATAAATCTAGTTTTTTTATTTCTTATTGCAATTTAGTAATTTCTTTAAAATTTTCAAATTATTTTAGTGATTTATTGACATTTTTTAATTATAGACTAAATGTTTAAAATTGGTTTTCCTATTCTTCTAAAGAATATTATATGTTTGCTTATTCATCGTTATTAATATTTAAATCAATTAAACTTAATATGGGTTATTACTCTTACATTTTATTTTAGATTTTTGAATTTAAAATTGTATCGGTAAGTTTTATTCAAATAAAAAAAAAAAATTGAATTTAAATTTTAAAATATTTTATAAATAATTAATTATTATAATTATATATATATATATATATATATATATATATATATATATATATTCTTATTATAGATAGAATTGTCTAATTTATATTTTTTATTAATTATTCCATTATTTTATTTTTAAAAATTTAATTACTAATATAATAATAAAAATATAGAATATCAAATTATATACTTTAATTAAATATAAACTTTATATTTTTTGTGTAAAAATAATACACATGAAACAAAACAAAAAATACAAATAATAAATGAATTTTCAGATATAAATTAACAAACATTTTGTATAAAAAATAAATAAACAAAAGGTGGTCAAAACATTATAAACTGATATAGATTATTATTTAAATATAATAATTTTAATAGCATCTTATAGTATTTAGAATAAATAACTGACTAAGAATTCCATAATTCTAGAGCATTAAATAATAATTATTTGGATTTATTATAGTTTTTATCCCTAAATTATATATATTATTTTTATTAATATATTAGAAAAAAATAATAAATACCAAACAATTAGTAATTATAATAAAAATATAAATAATTAAATAGCATAAAACAGCAAATATTGTTTCAATAAATTAATATTAAAAAATAAATTATTTTATATAAAAATAGTTAAAAATATATAAAAGTCTATTAATATGTATTTAAAAATATTAAAGAGCATTTTTTAGCGATGGTTTTAATTAAATTTTTTTTTCTTAAATCAATTTTTTTTTTTTTGGAGTATTTAACATAATTAGAAAATTCTATATTAATTCTTTGTATTCTTATATTTTTTTAAAATGTAAAATTGATTAATAGATGAAAAGTTCTATAACTTATTAATTTTTTAATTTATAATTTATTAATAATGTAAAAGTACTTATAATTTAGCTTTCTTTTGATTTTAAAAATTAAAAGAAGTTGAAAAGTATTAAATAATAAAATATATATAATCAAAAATTATATATTTAAATTCAAAGAAAAAAAAAAAGAATATATCAAATTAGAATAGAACCAAAAAAATAATAATAATATAAAGTATATATTAGTTAAATTTAATTATAGAACATAATAATAAATAGTAAATTTTAAAAGATTTAATCAGAATATAATTAAAAATTATATTATTTATAAATTATTATTAGTATTGAATAAACTTTTAATTTAATAAAAAATAATTTTAAGAAAATAAAAGTTAAGCCTATGAATATTTTTTTTTCACTATTTAATATTATTTTCAATTAGGATAATTGTATTTAGATTAAAAGCAGATGAATTATTTCAAATTTTTTGATAGTTTATATATTAATTATTTGAAAGATTTATTGTGAGAGTATAAACAAAAATATATAGATTTTTTGGTCTATTAGACTTTTAAATTGAAAAAACTTTCGAATATAACTAGCTTATAACTTAAATTTATTATAAAAACTACACGAATTGTTGTTTTTGTAACTATTATTTAGCATATTGTTATTTTTTATTGATTTAATATGAAGTAGTTTTAAAAATATTATATAATTATTTAATTTATATAACTATAATTTTTACAAACATCTAAAAAAATGATTCTTAATATATTTTTAGTTATATTATTTAGATAAAGCAGGTAGAAAACATAAATATAAAAATTAATTAATTGTAAAAGAAAATTGAATTAAATCTAAAGTATTTTAAAAATCAATAAGGTGATAAATCTTTTTGGTATTTATTAAATATATAATAATTACATTACTTTATACAAACATTTGATTAACTTTATTTATATCTACTTAATTTTTAATAACTATTTAAATAAAGATTATTATTTAAATCATAAATGAAAAAAACTAGAAAACCTTATATTAAATTATATAAATAATAAACTATATATTTTATTTGTACTTAGGATAATGTTTTTTTTTTTAAATAAATAAATATATATATAATAAATATCTTATTTTTAAAGATAGTAATAATTAAATATATATAATTTATTTATTAACAATTATTGTAGTTTTTGAAAATATTTTATTTTAATATAATAAATAAAATAATTTAATATATTAGTAAATTAAAAAATTTATATTTATAAATATTGTAATGCAATTTGATATAAATTAAAGAATTATATTTAATTAAATATATTTAAATATATCTAAATAATAGAATAAAATTAAATTATTAATAATTTATTACAATTAACTAAATAAATTTTAATAAAAAATTATTTAGTGATAACTTTATTTTTTCTGTTTTTAAATATATTTTTTTATATATAGCATAATTAAATTTTTATTTAGAAAAAAAAATTAATTTGATTATTAAAATTATATATATATATAACTATATATATATAAATATATATATATATATATTTATATATAAATATTTATATTTGAAATTTATTTATATATAAAATATCATAATAACAAAAAGAAACTTCTTTTTTTTTTTTTAATATAAATATATGAAAAACTTTTTTATATAAAGTTATTTATAAGAAATATTAATAATAATTCGATAAAATTTATATTATTTTAAAAATATTTTTTATGAGAATATTTGATATAAATAATATTTAATTTTTATTTTTCTAAATTTAATTAATAATATATAATAATATTGTATTTTTTTTAAAATTATTTTAGATATAAAAATGGTTTTTAATCTTTATTATGTAATAATTTTAAAAATATAAACTAAATTTTAAAATATTTTTTGTTAGTCTTTTTAAATTATATTAACAAAATAAATTATTTTAGAAAAATAAAATTTATATTTTATTTAATATTTATAGGATATTAAATATAAATTATATATATAAAATATTAATATTTATACAATATATAAATATATATTATTATAAATATAGAATTTACTATTATATATAGTAATATTTTGTAAATTTTATTGTAAAATTAATTTAAATTACTTTATATTTCGTTTTTAGATTATAATTAAATTATTATTATACAAAGATTTATATTTATTCATTTATTAAATAAAAAATCATTTTTTATTTTATTAAAATAGTTTTTGTCTTTATATATTTTTGAATATATATATTAAAATATAAATTAAATAAAATTATTTGTAAATATAAAAAAAAATTAATTAATAAATAATTTTTGAAGATATAAAGATTTTTTTTTTAATTTATTATAAAAATAAACATAAAAAGAAAATTTAGTTTTAATAAAAAGAAATATTTTTGGTTTTGAATAGAAATGTTTTAATATTAAATAAAAAAAATAGTATAAATCTAGTTAAAATATAATATATTATTATTATTATCATGATTAAATATTATTATTAGAATTATAAAATAAAATTAATAACAAAAATAAAATAATATTAAAGAAAAAATTAATAGTATTAAAATAAAAATTAATATTTATTATTTATTTATTTTAAAATTATATTTATAAATAAATTATAAATAATATTAAATAAATATATCTAATCGAGTTTTTTTTTATTTATTTTTTTATTTAAATAAAAAAAAAAACTATTTAATTAATAAATATAAGTTTAACTTGTATTTAAATAAAAATTAAATATAAAATTAAGATTATAAAAAAAAATATAAAAAATTATTATATTATTAATATATATATTAATAAAGATATTATTATAAATAATATAAAAATAAAAAAATTAATAAAAATTTTATTATAAAAATTTATTTATATATTATTATATATATAATTATATTGTATTTATTTTCCATAAAAATAAAAAAATTATAAAAAAATATTTTATAAAAAAAAAAAAAATTAAAAAAAATAAAAAAAATATTTAAATAAAATATATACTTTTTCAATCATAAAGCATCATTTAGATCATTTATATTTATATTTTCATTTTTTTCGTTTTCTATATAAGGAACTTAATTCATTTCTACAAAACCAATTAAATCTTCAGCGGCGAACATTTCTTTTATTATATATTATTTATCTGTTTATGAGAACTCATTTTTTTTAAGAAAATTATCTTAAATCCAGAACTTTTAAATATAACAAATATTTTTTTTAAATTTATATTTTTACTTAAAATCCATTTAAAATAAGTGGAATAATAGCCATAACTACGAATAGTTTTAAATTTGGTTAATTATTTAAGGCATAAAATAAAACTTTGGCTATTTCTTGAAGCTCTATTGTAAGAAAAATTTAAATTAGGAAAAGAATCAATTTAGACTATTAAATATAAAATAAAGAAAAAAATAAATATTGTGTTACAAAAAAAACAATAGAATTCCATATTAATAATTAAACTAGCCAAACAATAATATCAATTTTTATTATAGGTCTTAATAAATTAGTTTTTAGTATTTTTTAATCTCTTTAGGATATATTTTTTCGAAAATCTAAAGATTTTATATTCTAAGATGGACTTATTATTTTAAAGTAATTACCTGATTTATATTTCTAATAAAATATAAATAATATATATATATATATATATATATTTATATATTTATATATTTATATCAAATACATATATATGTTTATATATATATTAACTTCAAAATAAGTGCTTTTTGAAAGTATATTTTTCTCAAATTAAATTAAAAATATATAACTGAAAAATACACCTAATGTTGTATCGAAAAATACAGTAATAAAATACCTAATATTTTAAAGTATATATATATATATATTAATATATTATTTATAAATTTATATATATATATATATGTATTCATATTTTATTTATATTTACCAATTACAGGCATCATCTTATTCACTTTTAGTTAAAATTAATGCTAACATTACGTTAAGAAAATGCGCAAAAAATGCTGAAAATCCTTATTTACTTGTATCCTTAATATTTTAATTTAGAAATAATAATGAAAATATGTTTTACTAAAAACCATATTTTCCATTATCTCTTTGGCTTCTCTTTATATCTTTTAACTTGTTTTTTATTTTATGTATACTAAATATGTTTAAAATATACTTATAAGTATAAAAAAGGCAAAAAATGCTAACAAAAACTAAACAATAACGCCAAAAAATCCAATTAAATCACAATTTTCTTACATATTTATATATTTATTATATTTTTTAATAATAAATATAATTAAAATATATATTTTATATATTTAAATTATTATTTTTTTTTTTTAAAAAAAAAAAACTAATTATTTAATAATAATTAAAATATTTTTTTTTTTAAAAAAATGTTTATTCTTGTACTTTTTGGATATAAATAAAGCAGAATTTTCACTATAGATTGCTTAACTGCGACTTTAACAGATTGTATATGGCAAAACTGTATTAAAGATACTAATAAGAATATTTTATAAAAAGAAGAATAACATAATAAAGAAAAAAATCTTTTATAAAAAAAAATATAGAAGATAGAAGTAAAAATTGAATAAATAGATAAATTGATTAAAGACGAAGAAGAAAAAATAGATTCAAATGATAAAAAAAAAGTAAAATAAATAAATATATTTACATATATAAATATATATTTAACAAAAATAAATATTTTTATATATTATATTTAAAAAAGTAAGAAGAAAAAAACAAAAAAGTAGCTAAAAAAGGTAAAGATACAGTCCCTTCTAATCCATTAGAAATCGAAAAATAAGAAAATCAAAAAGAACTTGAAAAAATTAAAGAAAATATTCAAAAATATGATGATAAACTTGAGAAATTAAAAATTTAAAAATAAAAATTTTAAGAACTTGAAAAAAACGAAAATATTATTGTCGAACTTTTCGATAAAACTGGTGAAAGGAAATTTATAAAAACTAAAAATGATACTATTGCAAATACTTTCTTAACAGATAAAAATACATATATATTAGGATATTATTTGCCTACTAAAGAAGAAGAAATTGTTAATGTAGTAGAAATTGATGGATATTGCCTAAGAAGTATAGAAGAAGATGAAGGGGTAATAGACGAACCATTAATTTAGAAAAAAGATGATAAAAAAAAAGGAAAAAAGGAAAATGATAAAATATTATAATATATATATATAAATAATTATAAAAATATTATATATATCTAAATGCATATATAAATATATAAATATATATATAATTAATAAAATAAAGAAAATATATTTCAATCTATTATATTACATATAATATATAATATAGTGAATAATAAATATATTTTGGTGCCTTCAAACGATGATTATATATATTTTTCTTATTTAAATAGTAAACATAATTTATAAAATGAAGATGTAAATAAAATAGCTGGAACTAATAAACTATAAATAAATATTAAATAAAATAAACATAATAATAATATTAATAATAATAATAATATTAATAATAATAATAATAATAATAATAATATATTTATTTATATATATATCTATTAATATATATTTTTTTAATTTACAAAAATGATTTTGCTTTAGTTGATTCTATTATTGAGTAAAGGAATATATAGAAAATAATAAAAATTATAATTTTAAAGCAATCATGTTTTCCTAAAAGCTCAAATATAGTAATTTTTTGTTCGTCTTTTTTCTATATAGCTGTATTAGTTATAGCATACAATATAAATATTAAGTTTATTGGTGAAAATTAAACTACTGTTTCTATAGAAAACTCGTTTTTTATTATTAAATTTGATAAAAGCACTATTATTGGGGATATAACTAGATTAAATATGGCATCAGAAAATCCTGATGTTCTTAGTTTATCGTCTAGGAGTAGTCCAAAAGTTATTAAAGCCGAAATACCTAGGAGAAACAATAAAATATTTGGGACTTTTTCAATATATCGGCATATAGAGAATGCAAAATAACCGAAAAAAAGCCATAAAAAATAAGATGATATTTTCTCGTAAAAATTCTTAAATTAAAATTTTTTATTAAGTATATATTTTTAATTCAAATAAATAATTCCAAATATTATTTACAAGACTAAATAACGAGTAAAACCTAAAATATTAATATTATGGTAATTCTTTTAATTGTTCTTAGAAAATAATAAGAATATAGGAAATAAAAACGAAATTATTATATGTAATAACTTCATCAAAAACATATTACTAATTTTTATATTTATTATAAAAAAAATATATATATTTATAAATATATAATTAAAAATATAAATTTAAAAATATATATAATATTGATATATATATATTTATGTATATATATTTATATATATATATATATATAATATTTATTCATATATTTATTTCTTTAAATCTTTATTTTTTATTATATAATGTAAAATATACTATTTTTTATAAATTTATTTTTAATTTCTTTTTTTTTTATATAATTATATTATTATTTTTTTATGTTTTTTAAAGGTTTTGAAATTTTTAGTTTTTAGTTTTAAATAAATTTTTAACATTTTTTATGTTTTGGAATGATAAATTATTTGTGTTGGAAAAGATTTTATAATTATTAATATTTTTAATAGTAAAAAAAAGAGATTTATTCTAAAAATATTATCAATATTAGTTAATAATACGGAAAGTTTAATGTTAGATTCGGTATAAATGAAGAAGGATTACCTGATATGGGCGATTGGCTTTTTTTCGAATGCCTATCAGATGATGATTAGGCGAAAACATTAGAAAATTAAAGAGATTTTTAAGATAAATAGGCTACTTTTAATAATATAATGCCTCTTTTTTTCACTAGTGCTATTTGTTTTCCTGGATTAAGCTTTATTTGGGCTGTTGGGATGGTATTAGGAAGTAAATATATAAAAGAGAAATATTTTTTGGGCGGTTTTTCTATTTTAGGAAGTATTTCTTGTTTCAGAATTTTAACGAAATTAAAATGAAAAATAAAAAATAATTTTATAAAATAATATATTT